ACGTCTACAGCCGCTTTTTCCCAACGCATCGTCATCGTCGCCGAGTTCCGCCAGCAAATTTCACGCGCGTAATATACGAAAATATGAAAGTACAGCCGGCAAAATTTTGCCGTCGTCGCCGATTCGTCCGCCCGTAAAATCCGGCAAAATGAAACGAATGGATTCTCGCGAGCTTATCCGCGGCGCTTATCGGTGATACTTGACGAGCGCGCGTTTCCCGCAGAGTTCCGGTTATGAAATTCATTGTCGAATATGCTGCTCGAGATCGAGCTGATTTCCTGTAATTTTAGGCCGCAGACTTTGACGACTGTCACTCCGAGGAGAGAAGGAAAATTTATCGAATTAGAGCTGACGATATCCGGCGGTTGACACAACAAATCCTGCCTAATCGCGCGAGTGAAACAACCATTGTGCCGCCTTAACGCGATTTCATCCACCGATCGTTTTATCATTCTATCGAAAACAAGAAACCTGCTAAGTCAATTTCGGATTGAATAGAGGAGATTCTGATTGAGTTTAATCGCGCACGTGCCGGCAACCGTAACGTATTACTTTCAGCGAGACAAAACATCCGTTCTGGATAAACAGGCTTACGCTCTAATTGCGCCTTTCTCACTATACCGTATATACCGTCCAATTATAAATGCGCAACTTTAATCGTATCATCTCCTTATGCAGCAACGCGAAATTCTGCAAACGAGACGCGCGAGTAGGAGCGGCGTGAGGGAAAAAAAAGAGCTCGTCAAAGGAAATCCTCTTAACGAGCCGCACTTGCCTGGCCGGTCACGATAACAAGATGATTTCATACTTTGCTGCATTTCGGTGCAGCACCACGCGTCGTTGCATCGCGAGCCTATAATTCGGTACTGGAATGATCGGGAACTGCAAAAGTCGCTCTTTAACAGGAAAAGGCAAAAAGGCAACTGAAAGACGAGTGAATGAAATGTGACTTTTATATGTTCAGAAGAAAGTTTCACTTTCCCGATTACGAATCTCTTTTTGATAATTTTGCGTTTAGTTGCAAAAATCTGTTTCATTTTCAGTGCAATAAATTAGAAAATTCTAATCGCGAACGGTTTTACCATATTTTATGTATTTTTAAACTTTGCGTGTAAGAAACTGCCAGGGAAAATAATAATAATAATAATAATAATAATAATAATACCAGAAAGGGAATGTACATGTGTAAATAAAGAGACAATTAATGGAATTATTATATTGACTCTTCATATTTGTGTTACCGTATCCGTGAGCTGGGATAACGATACGAAGAAAAATCGATTAAAAGTAAAAGGAACCTAGCTTCCTTGGAACGTGGGCGTACTTCTAATGGAGCTTCGATCTTTAATTCAGCGTACTTCCACGGAGGATATAAATCCAAGCGGACGCGAGTCGTAAAAATTCGCGAAACGAAAGTGACAGGGATATCCTCTCAGAGAAAGAAAGAGAAAGAGAGAGAGAGAG